TCTTCTTTCTTCCTTCCGCGTCCAGACAGTATTTGACGATTTAATAATGCACAAATATAATAATATCACCCTTTTTAACTACAATACAAACTATAAAGTACAGTATTAGAGTGTAAATTACAGCATTAAGCCAGCCAAATCTCTCTTCGATCACAAGTCTCTAACACACACTCCATCGAAGAAGAAGGAATTAGCTCATTAGAAATGATAACTCAAACATTCTTTGGCGACAAACAGATGAGTAATGGATTTATATGTACTAAAAAAAAAAAACAAACGAGGATATAGACCTCACATACAAACACACAATGAAACACAATTGCTCTCCTTTTGTTACAGATATATGTGTAGTTTTCTTGCTTTGTGCTGAAGTTGAGTTGATGCTGAAAGACACTCTACTTCTACATCTCCGTGGACTTATGACCAATCCGTTACTTTACTGACTACCCACACTCACTCCCTCTTATCTTCTTCAACATCGCCTTCACTCTCCGAGCCGTCATTCTTCTCTTGCTTTACAAGGCTAATATCACCATCTGCCTTTCCCCCTGTCAGTGATCGGTCTTCCTCGTTTTCTTCATCCACTTCTCCAGAATACGCATATCTGTCCATCATTAATTAGTTTCACATTACCATCCATGGAACAATAAATTGGATCACTAGTATGTAGTCATGACTTTCCAGAAGACAAACTAGCACAAACATGTTTAGCTTGGAGAACCAAGCTTCTTTGTTAGTATGCCAGACAAGTATCAAAATCTTTACGCTGGTGAAACATACCTTTGAGAGTTCTGAGACGGGGTCCAAAGATAGCAAATAATACATAGCAACACAAATGCAATAACATCCCAAAAGGCGGTTATAGTCCACGCAGTCTGCCATCGTTCATTGAATGAATCTGTTGCTTTGAAATACACCTGCAGGGGGGAGGGAACAAATCATCAGGAGGTTTCTCTATTCTGAGCAATTTCTAGCTTTTTTTTCCACGCCAGTTTTTAGATACTAGGCACTAGTCACCCTAAAAATGCTTTCAAACGCCTTGAGCAGCCATTCCCTCAAGTAAGATTTGAGGAATCACAGCACCAAATCAGGCTTTGACAGGATGGTACCTCATACACTATCCAAGCAACAGAGGCAACAACCATAACAGCAAGAGCATTTGAGAACTTGCGGTAGATGTCCAACTTCACAGAGGTCCTCTTCATCTGCAGAGTAAACGATCATAACGAAGTTCATATAGCTGATCTGATGAATCTTGCCTGAAAACCTTACACAGCTTACAGAGTCTGATCACATAGTCGCTAATCCGGGAAGAAAGAGATACCTGTAATTGTTCCAGTGTTTTCGAAAGAGAGGTGAATATCCACAAAATGAGAAATGCATCCAGGAAAGCGTCCGGCAGGACAAGAAAGAGTTTTGCTCTTCCAGATACGTCGTCAATAATGCCAACATGCTCAGCTATATCAAGCATCTCAGAAGCTATGAAGTAAGTAACTCCAACGAGAATGACTTTAGAAGTGAGACCACCAAGAGTGGACTTGACAACCCCAAATCCCATGGAAACACAGAGAATGAGAATGCGGGAAACAGTTTTCCTGAAAGCACCAATTGTAACAACCCATGTAGTAAGGGCTAAAGGCCTCGTCCCCGTGTTGTTAAAATTAGCATAGTCCAAGTACCAAAAGAGCATCTCAAGCAATCCTAGAACAATCACCACTGTTATGCAGTGTTGAAGTGGCAATATATCCATCCGGAACCTCACGTACTGGAAGAACCAGACGGCAGTGAGCAGCAGATATGCGAATGACATGTAGACATAAAACTTCATGAGTGGAGCCATCCTACCAGGAAGATAGCCATCGGGATTTTTCCAAATGGTCTTTCCGGTCATTTTGAGGCCCTTGAGTTTGGGATCACAAGAAATGAACAAGAGATTATAGATTCCAGTCTTCCTGATGAGAATTTCAGTGTCTTCCAACTTAGCGGACAAATGTTTCCCTTTGAAGCGGAGACGGAGGAGGATAGGCCATCTAGGGTCATGTGCAGAAGGAATCCTAATGATCTCCCCTTGCTTACAACCTTGAAGATTGGCCAGATCTGGAGAGCAGCAAATAGATCTCTGGCCCCCGTAAGCTGAGCCACCGATATTGTTACGATCGGAGGCCTCAAAGATCACTGCCTGGACTAACCCGTTATTGTGGCTCCGGTTAGGAATTGTCCTCCAGAGAGTGATGTTCTCAAACCTGCACCAATAAGGATACACATGAACGAACGAATGGCGAAAATGTAGAAGAGGTGAACATATGATCCGCCTTACCTGATGAAAGATCGGGAAGAGGCGAAGATGCCCTCGCTGCCACCGTAGAGGAGGAGAGAATTACCGACATCGTGGAAGGGCTGGGAGGGGTAGATGTGGACGGAGGATTGTGCGATTTCAAAGTGGAAAGAGAGAAGAAGAAGTGGGCACAACAGGATCAGTAGATCCATGGCCGCCGCCATTATCGGATTTGGAGTCGGAAGCGGGAGAAAGAAGAGAGCAGCATGTCACGCCCGGTGGTAAGGGTTGGTGGTAAGGGTTACTGAGAGTCAATTTCCACCGTTAGATTAGAGTTG